TCCTGACTGCAGTTGTCTTGTGCCGAAACGCAGACCCTGACACAGGATCAGGAACGTTGGTAGCTGTGTGTGACACGTCTGTCTCCGCGACTCGAAAGAAAAACCGGGTGTGGAAGATGATGATGAAGATGATTATATGTATGACGCCTCGAATTAATATTAATTATTCTGTAAAGTGCGTAATTGCTGTACACCTTAAGGTGGTTCATAAGGTTTGGGCGTCACGAGTCAGGGCATGGACGTGAGTTATGAAGATTCACCATCAGGGTATATACTGACGCTGCATGATGTTTCAGTCTTTTAGAGTAATTTGCTTTGGTACGCTGTGTAAAATGTTAACTTTATGACATTTATGACAAGCTTTTCCGCATAAAGTGGGTTTGATATGTGGGTATTCTGTAACTCATATTTTTGTTTGGAGAATTACCCGGGCCAACGCAGCAAGAAGTTCAACTCTCATAATAACTGTCTGATGATGGTCATATTGGATATGATGATCCTTGAGGAAAGCAGAATCATATGTCTCATTGAGTTGCGATCAATAGCCAGCGAAAATATTCATTATTCATATTCCATGGAAGGCAGTTTGGTATTGAAATAGACAGTTAGAACCAGAACGGTTGCAGGTACTAGCAGAATGAAATGGAAGTTGTCTGAATGGAGTGAAAGGTACTGGCCGGATTCTGCTCATGGGAAATTCTGGAACGTTCTCAAAGAATTAAGTGTTCTTGCGACATGGTCATATGTATGGCGAACAGCATATTTTGGCTTTAGCGTAGATGTTGTCTTCCTTCCAGATGCATTGCAGCTTTGTCATCACGGATGTCGCTGTTTCTGCTGTTAGTTCGATTATTAATGTAACAAATGTAATCTTACTGTGGGGTAGCAGTGCAGTGGGTTAGTAAGTTGCTTCTCTCGTTAAAATGTTGTTCAACAGTGCAGAGTGTGAATTTTCTATTTTTAACTGACGATTCTCTTGAGCAAGAGATTCGCCCACTGTGCTTAAAAAGTATAACTAGTCTTTAATCTGTGAATAATAGGAAGAACATGGGTTGTTGTGCGCTCATGCGAAAACGTACGAGCCATACGGTTAGGCTGTCTGATGCGTGCGCTTTACCGCTGCAATTCGCTTTGAGTCATTTAATTGCTGATTAAAAATTGGAACAAGGTGTAGATCTCAATTTAATGTAATAATAATGTATTAATTTAAGTCAGGGAGCTACAATAGCAAGGTTGCTGAAACCAATCTGCAGTGGAAGGTGCCTTTTTATTATTGTTATGCTTTGTTATTGACGTGGATTGAAAAGTCATTTTTTATATATCGTTGTAAAAGCTGGGCGTTGACAGAGTAACTGAAAAAGATATGCACGCAACTGAAATGAAGTATTGTTTTCATTCATTTCTTTTTGTCAATTCTTTACACCGTGCCTGAAAGAAAGTGTTAAATAAGAATAGCGAGTACAGTACTCATCGATTATCAGGAGCAGCTTAAATTGCCGTACTTCGGGCACCCATTGCAGTCCAGCGGCTTTTAGAAATCCCTCCTGTAAAGTCTCATCTAGTTTAGGAGACCGGGAAGATTCCCCAAGATTCCTGGAAGAATACTATACGGTACTGAACCGGCAAGTCAAACATTTAATGATCTGATATTCATAGACTGTTAGCAGTATAAAATATCGCTTCCGCTTCTATAATTATTGGGCCGTAAGAGATTATGATGACCAGATCGATAAGGTCAACAGCCAGCAGTAACTGCGTGTCAGGAACAAAACTGTTAGTGCGCGTGATACTTAGAAATTCAAAATATTTAGTGTATCTTTCAGATATTTACTGGAAGCCCTTGAAAGTACATTCATGAGAATTCATTCGTTGAATCTTCATCAAAAAATCCAGCAGGGTTTGTTTTGCGACTAGCCTTCCTCTTTAACTTTTTGATTTCATTCAACATTTTTGTATACATTAATCTTTGTCAATTTTAATGGTGCAAAATGTTTTTTTCAGGCTTCTATGACTCAGCGAATTCTTTAGAACGGCTAAATCAGTTTGACTTTGTTCTTCCTGAAGATCTAGCCGTTCAGCCATTCCAGTCAATGCAGGATGCGTTTTGATCCTTCTGATGCCACTCTCAGCTCTCACTGCTCCTTCTAGTCTTGTTCGTGGTTCTAAAGTTTGTTTTGCTTTTCATACATTCCTTTCCGTTTTTGGATATCGACTTTTATGCATTTCGTTATAGACAGCTTTACTTCTGAAGTTTTTGTTTTGGATTTTTTTGTTGTTGGTTTTGGTGAAATAAAATTTGTTTCCCGTGGTGTCGCTTTATTCTGCTGTTTGAAAGAGGGCATCGAATCCTTGCTGGATACTTTGAACATGAAACTAGGCGGCTAAAATGCAAGTCAAAAGTTATTAGCTGGGATACGGTTTTGAATACAACGATTTTGTGAAATTAACTAAAAACTATATGAAATTATCAGAAAGTGCTAAAGGAATTTACTGTAAATAATTATATAATTCT